GCTAGGAACCAAGATTTTGGACTGATCTTTGAGACTTCTGAAGCTACCGTCCTGCCTCTTACATCACTCCTGTGTCTACCCTATCTGGAAAAGGACTGAAGGAATATTTTCACGGAGCAAGTGCATTTAAAGGGTAAATAATTTTTAATACTCGTTTCTTCTCATTTAAAATATTTTCGTAGCAAATCTTTGCCTGTCATTCTCAGGGTGATGCCTATTAATACAAGCCACTAGGCATCTAAACAAACCAGTTAGGCAGAGCTGCTATAGCTATTTATTAAGAAGGTGATCCTTACTCTACTAAAATTTATGAGCTGACATTCTGGTCTCTATTTAATCCTCAGGAGTTTAAAAGATCATGCTCAGATTTCAGTAAACTACAGAGTCAGCATTTGAATATTTACCTCAAAGGCAACAAACAAGTACTCATAAAAATATTCTCAAGAGCTCTATCTGCTTATGTAACATGTTTCAAATTATGTGTATGTCTAGTACACTGAGAATTACCAATTATAAATCAAATACTGAAACAAAAATCTGAGGAGTAGACTAAGAACTAAGAAATCTCAATTTCCTCACCCACAGTACTGCTCTTTAACTTCTCCCCTGTCTTCTCTTCACCTTTAAAATAGCTCGTTACAGCAATGTGATTAAAGCAACAAGAGCATGTTTCTGTTATGTTTATGGATTAAACTTTTCTTGTGGTAGGGAACATACTGAAATATATTATAGCTTTAATTAAGAGGGTCCTTTCTGGCAATGGATGTGTTTTATGCAGTAGTAAAAGAGAACACAGATTCCAACGTAGGAAAACAAGGAGGAAGCAAGAGTCAAAGGCTAGTTCCTCAAATAGCTACCAGACTTGTTCGGAGGACTATGTGCACATAGAATGAAATAACCAGAGTGTCTGAGAATAACAAGACTGCTTGACCAGGAGTAGAAAGAACAGATAGGGAATAGAAAGGTATGCTCAAGTAAAAAATCAAAAGATGAAGGCTTTAACTGTATGAAGGAGTTTGGATTGTTCCATCAGCCTACAGATGCCATGATCAAAGAAATAACCTAGTAAGTGAGCAAAGGTTTTAAAAACAAAAATTTGTATGTTTTTAAAACAAATATCTGTATAATGTTTTAATATTTACAAAGCAATTTTATAAGTTATCATTCCACCTATATTTCAGACTACAGTCTCCTTTTTGTTTGTTACATCACAAACATAAATAATCAATATAAAAACTTCCTAAACACAGATGAGGACATCATGTGGTAGAAACAGATATAATCCATACTCCCAAAGCTGCTTTCAAAAATAAGAGCTAAATAAAACCCAGAAATAAAATACGGCTTTATAAAAAACAAAGCGATGCTGTGTTACAATAATAAAAGGAAAGGGACAGGGAAATCATAGTTCTCCAAGTTTGTTTTAGTCAGACCCTCATTCAAGGGTACTATTCCGCTTTAGCTGCTGCACTTGAAATTGGAGGGAATTCAAAAACAACAGCAAAAGTGATTATGTAAACAGACACAAAACAAATCCTTCCAGGAAAGATTAAGTTTCCCGGAGAACAGACTTACACTATAGTCAAATAGTGCCAAATACTGTACTAGACGTGATGAGGGGTACAAAGGAAGAAAAATACAGACATCTGCACTTAGGAAGACTGCAGTATAGTTGAGGGAGACAATATAAATGAAATACTTACAGACAACCAGATGGTACATATTTTTCAATCAATTTAATATGATTCAAGTTTTCTATGATTTCATCCTCAGTAACTCTTGTTCTCTTTACCACGTTTAATTAGTAATAGTGTCATACCACACATTAGTTTAGTTCTTTATCATTTCAAGGTTCTTTGATATTAAGTGATTCTCACAACTACAGGGTAGAAATTAAGTCCCCACCATTAAGAACACCTCTGAGATAAGTCTTCTTACCTGCGTTCATCAGTTTCTTTAATATGGTGGTCCTTCAACTCTGGTTGATCATTGAACCACCTGCGGAGCTTTTCAAAAAATACTAACACCCTGGACCCACTCCTAGGGATTCTGCTTTAATTGGATTGTGTGGGGAGGATATAGTGGTATTTTTATAACCTGCTTAAATGATTCTAGTATGCAGTCTGGGTTGAGAACTGCAGCCCATATACATCCATCCCATCCATCCCATCCATCCCATCCACCCATCCCTCTATCTATCCCTCTATCTATCCCTCTCAATTTTATTTTTTGGTAATGTAGGGGAATAGCTCTGAGTTGCTCAAATATTTCATCGATTCTAAGACACCATCAATTGTATATTCACCATTATTTTATGTACCACTAAGAAAGACAAAATACTGCCATTGAACTATAATAAGCCAAAGATTTTAAGACCTAATTTCAAAAATGTCAAATGTGGAAAATGTGCAATATGATAGACTGCTCCACCCCTAATTTACAATCACTCTACTCTCTGTGGGTAAAAACCCGCATTTGTTCCTATGGACCATCATATCCTGTCCTGTTATTCATACCCCCTTTTTCCTTCCCCCGCCCCATTCTATCACTAAAGACACAAGAGAAAAGGAGGAAGGAACAGAAGGAACAGTGGTAGGGGACAACATTTGGGAGCAGAGACCCTCTTTGGTCACGGATACTCACAACAATATCACCTTTACAAGAGTTTCAAAGTCATGTCCCTCATTTTGAGACTGTAGGTAATGTTTTTTTCTTAAATTAAAATATCTGCTTTCCAAAGAGAAGCTAAAATTCCAATTTGCCAAATAGCACTATAAATACGAGTTCTGTACAACAATATAATTTCAATGTTCATTTGACGGCCCATAGAAGTGCTTTGCTCATCAGGTTACAATAAAATTTTCCATGAATAAAAATGCATAAAACATACTTTACGAAAACTCATTTTTAAAATGTAAGGTATGATTTCTGCTCATAAAACTATAAAACACAGGTTTCCTTGAAACACTCATCTCCCATAGTATATTTAAAGTATGAATTAATATGATTTATAAATTGTTTTCAAGATTACCTCTGTAGCAAATAACACGTGGAATGGAATTTTACCTGAACTTCTCACTTTTTTACATTAACTGCCATTGTTATTTGTGCTCCTTTTGCTCTATTCTTTTGTATACTCTCCAAATAGGGCTAAATATCTGCCAATGTAGCAAAGTTCCCTGGGATTCTTTGAAGACTCAACTGAGCAGTGCAAAAGGTTTACAAGGATGTACATCTGACTGGAATTCCATATCCACAGGATCGTCCTGCCAAGAGTTACACCCAGTGAGTCCTAGGCAGATTTATGCACTCTAACTAGTTTGTGAGATACTGTGGTAAATGAGTTAAATAAGTTAGCTGTACAGTAGCTGTGTTAGTATAATACCAGGACCAGGCAACACTTAATAAAGACAAATTTCACATTTCAAAATAAAAGTAAAGTTTTGACATTCAAGTAGAATTAGATTAACACGGAAAAAAATTCTTGATTCTTAAAATATGTCAACACACTATACTGTGTAATTTACTTTTTAACATGCAAAAAGAAGCTAAAGTAAAACATAGCTGAACATCAAAATGAATGTTTCTCACATTCAGTGCTATCAACAGGATGTTATGAAGAAGCAAGGAGTCCCTGGGTGGTACAAACGGTTAAATGCTCAGATACTAACTGAAAGGTTGGACGTTCAAATACACCCAGAAGTGCATCAGAAGAAAGGTCTGGTGATCTACTTCTGAAAGATCACAGACACTGAAAACCCTATGGAGCACAGTCTACTCTGAAACACATGGGGTCACCGTGAGTCGGAATCGACTCAACAGGTGTGCTTTTTTTGGTTTATGAACAAGTAAGCCACACATTAAAAAAGAGAAACTTCAGCTTTGTGAAAAGTATAGGGAGGTCTAGGCAAAGAGGAATGAGAAGGGCATGAATGTCAGATGTCCAAAGGTTAGCCAATTTTTGGAAATAGAAAAGGTAAATATATCATCATGAGTTAGGTAGATGGGTATCAAATTCAAGTGTGGAAGAAAGTCATAGATCAAAAAACTTGAAAAAAAATGTGGGGAAGTCTAGGGCAGAAATACAGAATCGCTTCAGAAGATCAGCATAGAAAAATACAGGTGAAAACAACCAAAAAGATCTGGTAGAGGTGGAGAATGTGGATACGGAATACATTAAAGGTAGCTCCAAGACTATCCCTTTTCCTTGAAAAGAAGTGTTTGAATTTCATAGAAGAGTGATCTGTTGTATCTCCCGACCAGGAAAAGCACCTTCCTGCTGAGGTTCCACTTCTTTCCATGGCATGGGAATTATCACTGGCATATAAATGGGGCAATCATAATGATGACAATGATCTCATTTCCCATCAGCAATTGGTAGAAAAGATGGTAATTTCTCCCACTGGCCTGGAATAAATTCTGCCTAATGTAGATGGTAGAAGATAGCAATACCTCATACTGGAAAGTTTTGCCAGGATTTGGGAGCAATGGACCTAATTAACTACAGAATATACTCAGCCAAGGACTTGACAATGGCATTGTTCAGAATTCTCTGAGTTGCCTAAAGAGTCCTTTTTATGCATAATTAAAGATGTCTAACATAGGGTGATCTAACTCTAATGACAGGACCCCTCTCTTGCAAAATTCTGTATCTTTCTGCTTACATGAAGTTTGATGAAGTCCTCGAGTCTAGAGGTCAAATGGTTGTAGGTGAGCTTATCTTCGACCTGTGGGTTAAGCCTTTCTGCTGCAACCACTGAACTGATTAATTCAAGTTTGTATCTGCAGTAAGGTAGAGAAATATGGCCATATAAACCACAGATGTTTCCCTTGGTCTAGATACTCAAGCACCATTTTTACAGTTTCAGGGCTGTGTTAAAGGAGCCCTAGTGGTGCAATGGTTAAGCTTTTGGCTACTAATGGAAAGGCTGGCAGTTCGAACTCACCAGCCACACCACGGGAGAAAGACCTGGCGATCTGTTTCTGTAAAGACTGCAGCCAAGAAAACCCTGTGGGGCAGTTCTACTCTGTCACAAGGGGTCGCTATGAGTCCAAATTGACTCGATGGCACCCAACACCAATAATAGGGCTGTGTTGACCTGATCAGCAGATACATATAAACATAGAACAGACTAAAAAGAAGACAATCTGGCTTTCTCCTAAGGGCAATGGGCAGCAATGATCAACAAACCCCTGTAATGTCCGTGCATTGCAACCATCTTGCTTTGATGGGGGGTAAGATGGGTCCCATTTTTCATTAAGACTGCAAGTTGGGGGCAACGGAATACATAAAAGTCCTATGGGTTCATATCAGCTTCTGGTCAGGCACTAAGACTAGGCTTCAGTTACACGATTATTGCGAGGTCATGAGTAGCAAACAAATCATACGTATCAGGTGTACAGAAGCCAAGAACACCAGAGTGAGGTCTAGAGTGAGAAAAAGTGATCAAGGGTTAGAGGCACATGATAGGGTGGTTCCGAGTCTGTCAAGGCAAACTGGCAGAAAAAAAGAACATGCATCAGCAGTTTTGAAAACTGGACAGCAGAAACCAGACGTGAGTGAGTTAGCAAGTGTAAGGCAGCTCAGGAGTGATGGCTGAACAAGTCTGCTGTCCCATTTGTAGCAGTACAGCCTCCCCTCCTACCTCCCTTCCCATACCATGGAGGCCCATCCTCTAGTAGCACTAACGCCAGGGCTTCTGCAAGAAGGCATCTGCAAACAGGAAACATCAAGTGTGAGGAAGGAGACCCAATGTTACACAGTATTCAACTTCATCACTTTATTTAAACATGCCAAGAAAATTACAGCACTGTCACCATCACTATATAGTTATGTTGTATTGATTATGTCCCATAAAATTCATTAAAAGAGGCTGATTTGTAAATGAAATTGTTATGCCTTAGTTCATTTTGCTATTACTGGGAACTACTATGTGCAGTGGCTCCCTGCAATGGGAATATAAGAATTTCATGAATACATTTCCAGAGTACCAAACAACAAAAAGCCTACTCAGTATTTCTTTAAAAGCCGTATCTATAGAAAAGACTTGATTCCCCCCAAAAACAAAATCAATACACATGAGATTGTTAGAATACAAGGACAGACTTTAAAATGATGCAGGACTGAGGGGAAGCTGTAGTCTGAGTGTTGGCTTTGTCATTAACAAGCTATAAAGTACTAGACACAACACTAAACTTCATCTTTGGTAAAATGAGGAGGTTGAATTTCATGGTCTCAGCAAAAATTCAGTTCTACAGATTTTATAACTTAGTTTTCTAGGTCAATTTCAATGGACTTTTGATAATCTCAATGATCCATAAATGTTAAATTCAAAATCTGCTACAGTTACAGATACAATTTTTTTATATCTGAAGAAAATATAACATTGTTTAAAGAAAATAAAAGGTAGGCATTTTCAGAAAAAGCTGTCCCAATATTTCTACCAACGTGCAGTTAAATAATTAAAAAATACTTTTGATGCCATACGAGTATAAATCAATTTGATATAAAACCTAAAAGTCTAACTCAAAGAACAATGTAGTTCCTCAGGATACTTCAGCAGACAGACTAGTCCAATAACAGTGTGTTGGAGATGGCATTCACATTTCTTACCACTGGGCCTTTAAATTCTAGAAGTGAAAGCTCAGACCCCTAAAATGCTTTGGAAGGCAAGTTACAGAGGACGGGGGGAAAAGAAAGAGGAAAACATCATGCTCACACTGTTCAGCTCCCAGGATTTTTTTAAAAAAAGAGTTAACCACAACTTAACCAAGATCCCATTCTATACTCAGTATTTTAAATCTTCATCTCCGTCTTCTCTTCCCAAGACACACACAGTTAGAGAATTTTCTATAACAGTCCAAGCTTTTGTTTAGCAATGAAGCAGGTTTAGAGTGAAATAAGAACACTCAAGCTTATGAATTTTCCATAGGAAATCTTAACAACAACAAAAAAAGTAAATGATTATTGCAAATCCTTTCTGCTTGACGTTTTACCTTTAGGGTTAAAAAAATAAAAGAACCTTTTGTTCAAGGACATTAAGAAACCTTTTCCTCCCTTACTAAAGATCCCAAAATCAGAATCACATGCAAATCCAATCAAATTCAAGTGCTGTGTCAGGTTTAAATATTCGTATTTGGGTCTCAAAAATAACTACACCACTGTGAAATGTGTGACTTTTTACAGGAGAGAACATCCTATGTCCCTAGTTGCTTTCTCCTTAGGCAATCCATTAATGATTTACTACGTTTTTAAAAAATGATACTAATTCAATATACATTATTTTCCAAAAAATAACAGTATTATTCAATATTAAGCATGCCTGATTAAAAATAGTTTAAAAGGTATTTGATATGGATTTAGCTGGAGAATTAAACATTTCTAACTGCTTAACAGCAAGAAGAAATTCAATTTATTCTGAATAACTTTCATTACTTCAAAGTATATGAAAATCCTTTTACAACAAATCTCTTCCCTGATACAGTTAAATGCAAATGAATCTTTTTCCTGTCTTACTCCAGAAAGCTCCTGCATACATAGCTGACACGCCACCTACTGCAAAACCCAGCTGACAACGCAGGCGATGCTGCCAGCATTTCCATTCCATCACCAAGCTGGGACTGAATAAAGGCGTGTTTGTGTGGTAGTGTTTCTTTTTAAAAAATCTCAAAGCCAAGAGGAACAAGCTGCAACAGCATCTTCAAAAATGGAGCGTAAAATAAATAGAAGAGAAAAAGAAAAGGAGTATGAAGGGAAACACAACAGCACGGAAGATGTTAACCAAGGAAAGAACTGCAAATCCACACTGATGACCCTCAACGTTGGTGGATATTTATACATTACTCAAAAGCAAACACTGACCAAGTACCCAGATACTTTTCTTGAAGGTATAGTAAATGGAAAAATCCTCTGTCCGTTTGATGCTGATGGTCATTATTTCATAGACAGGGATGGGCTCCTCTTCAGGCATGTCCTCAACTTCCTACGAAATGGAGAACTTCTACTGCCTGAAGGGTTTCGAGAAAATCAACTTCTCGCACAAGAAGCAGAATTCTTTCAGCTCAAGGGACTGGCGGAAGAAGTGAAATCCAGGTGGGAAAAAGAACAGCTAACACCCAGAGAGACTACTTTCTTGGAAATAACAGATAACCATGATCGCTCACAAGGACTGAGAATCTTCTGTAATGCTCCTGATTTCATATCAAAAATAAAATCTCGCATTGTTCTGGTGTCCAAAAGCAGGCTGGATGGATTTCCGGAGGAGTTTTCAATATCGTCTAATATCATTCAATTTAAATACTTCATAAAGTCTGAAAATGGCACTCGACTTGTACTGAAGGAAGACAACACCTTTGTGTGCACCCTGGAAACTCTTAAGTTTGAAGCTATCATGATGGCTTTAAAGTGTGGTTTTAGACTGCTGACCAGCCTGGACTGTTCTAAAGGGTCAATTGTTCACAGTGATGCACTTCATTTTATCAAGTAATTACCTGTGTCGAACAAAGCAACAAGCATGCAGCCAGCGAGCTTAGGATAACCGCAGCATCAAAGGCATCCCAAACAACGTGCCCAGCTAGCTCTGTACTACAGAGCCCTGCTGCTAATCAATTACTGTGAGCTAACGGTATGTAAATTCTGTCGCTAATGATGCCCTTCTTTGGGTGGTCCTGCTGTGAGACTGGTACATCTAAAATGAAAACAATGATCTTCTACATACTGTGAATAAAGACTGGATGCTTTTGCTATTTGTTTATTTTTCCTTAAGCTGTCTTTCAATCAGAATGTCCTGGGTACTTGCATAATGATCAAGCATGTACATTATCTATCGTTCATTTAAGTAAACAGTAAAATATTTTAAGGGGCTGTAAGATTTAACATCCTTTTCTACTTATGGCAAATATCACAAAGATACTGAACTGGTAAGATTAACCATTGAGAGTAAACACATGTACAGATCTACTAACACAGAACTACAGTGAAACAAAATGAGACTGTAAGAAGGTATTACAGCTACTGATTTAATTTTTAATGACAGGTACCAAAAGCTTATTTCTTGTATTTCATACTAGAATTATAGCTGAATTGATATTTTGCTGAAAATTCCTAGAAAACTGTTGGATGACAATAAAAAGAAAAAAAAGGCACTGCTAGCTTCTTTGCTTGTATTAGTAATTTTAACAAAAAGTTAAACATGTCACCTTAGAAACAAATAATATCACTCGATGATTTCACACAGTATTTTATGCACTGATATAGTCAACCACAGGTTACAGTGACCCTGGCTGGTCTGGGAAGGTAAACAAATCAGCAAATTCATTTATTTGCAGGCTGAGCTCCAACACAGCATAGGTAACTTAGTCTCAGAGGGGTACTGTGATGTTAGAATAATAAACAAGTTGATTTTCAGTATCACCCTAAATATCTGTTCGTTTTTTTCAAGGTCAAAAATATTAAATGAATATCATTAAACATTATTCTTGTAAAAGAACTTTACTGATTATTTTCAGTACCTATCTGATAGTAAACCTTAGGCTTTTATTAATTTCTTTACTTTGTGTTAAATAAGAAGTTATTTTATTAAGTTTTATATATTACTGCCTCAAAGAAATAATACAGTAACTCAAAGAAATAATACAGCGTGACTGCACTTTTTTCTTCTCCAAGAGCAGCTAAACCATTTGAAGCCAAGAGCAAATTATATCTCAAATTTGCTTCTTCAAAATGAAACATTAAAATGGGTGCCGAAATCTTGATTTTAATAAACTTCAACAAAAGAGTTCTGAAAATCTCAACTGAGGTTACACAGTTAAATTAGTGTATATATATATCAAGTTTGATTACATATAAAAGCTTAGAATCAATGAGTAAAGCTAGCATTCATCACCAGAACTATAACTGACTTCTAGTTACAACATCTAAGGCGATAAAAAAGTTGGCAGTACACACTGAAAGAACCCTTTTAAAAGCTACTTGTACAAAAGGTCTTTAAAAATCCACATTAAAATCCACTTAAAAAAAAACTACACACCAACTTCATAATCTTCTATGTATACCAAGAAAAAAATGTTTTCTCCTAAAACATCAAATTATCTCTTATGTACTTTAAAATGACTTAATCAGGATTTAAAGGAATTATGAATACAGGAAAAAACAGTAAAATGTATTTTAGCAGTCACTACAACTGAACTGTTCATATACCTCTCCAGCTTATGAGCTGGCTCTTCCTTGGCATTTGGACTTTGATAATGAAAAAAATAGCAGTGATTTAATGTCAAAGCAAGGTCTTCTCTAACGAGATTTCATTCCATAATAAAAACAGCCCTGACATATGTTTTTATAGGAGACATAGCTAAACAAATCCCCTTAGAGGTATTACAAATAAAGTTTTTGCATCAAGTCACAAAAAGACAATTTAACTCTTATTACAAAATTATTATTACTGGAAAACACTATTTAAAGAAATCTTTGGATCATTTTTATGTATATCTCTAAAAAATCATATCAAGATAGATTTAATTCCTTTTCAAGCCTTTGATAACTCACACTATCCTAAAGCAACTGAACAATCTAAAGAAAATATGATTACATTGATTACTCTTGTGTAACTTTTTACAAATGACCATTTTTAAATTCAAAATTACTTACACTCGGACTATGTGGATTTACAAATTAAGTGCCTAAATACTGTTATAAGTGTAGAGAAAATATCTAGCTTTTAATTTTACTATTTTCTAAAAATACTTAGAAATAGCTTCCTTCAGAAAACTCAAGAAATCACACAATATACCAGCTATAAGTCGGAGTGAAGCTGTCGAAATATTTTTGTTTGTAGTCACTGAAGAATTTCTTCCTCAAATCTTTTCCTCAAAAATAAACACTGCTCCAAAGAATAAACCACAAAATAACTCTCTATCTTCTCTGTTCAGAAGAAAGGTAATTTTTAAAAAAAGGCTGCTAGAGTTGCCATGAGCCAAACATATATGCTCCTGTATTTGGAATTATCCCACACAATGATTCTAGCACTGTCCTTAAAATGTGAAAAATAAAAATGTTTATGGTTTTTACTACATTTTTAAAAATTTATATGGCAGGGTGGAGAACAAGAAACGTTTCAAGTAATACAAGGAAGATTACTGTCCCAGACTGAAGATGGTGATACTGAATAATCTTAGTGTTGTTTTTTTTTTTAAAGAAAATTACTTGTACTCAAATGCTATTTTAAGACAATAAACAGTAACATTTATTAAGTGTTTTACTACATGCCAGATGCTGTGATATACCAGATACTAAAGATATGCATTATCTCAATTAATCCTTACAATGACCTTAAGAGAGGTACTAGTATTCTTTTCTTTTTACAGATGAAGAAACAGAGACTTAAAAGTTTAAGTAATCTGCCCAAGATCACCCAGCTAGTAAAAGGTGGAAGTAAGATTTGAAACCCAGGTCTGCCAGTTCTGAAGCCAGCAGGGTTTTGCAGACCATTTACATCTCAAACACCTAAACCTGGCACAAAACAGGCATTCACAAAGCAGGTCTTGAATACAGAATCCCAAAATATAGGTTTGCCTCACCTGATACAATCTCACAATTCAAGTATTCCTAAAATATTAAGTGGAAATTGAATTCTGGAAAAGCAGATAGTATTTTTAAATGCTGTAACATGCCATTTAAAAAACATGAAATGAATCATCTCAGAAAAGTAAAGAATATCTGAAAGCTGTCAATCAGTAAATTTAGATTTTCACATATCAGGCTTGCTGAAAGGGCTTAACTTTTTATGACTTGTACAATCCAAAAGTGACATGAGAAAAACTATGGCACAGTTAAACAGGCTGGGCTCTGGAGTCAGACCTAGGTTCCAATTCCATTAACTTCCAATTCCTGGCTATATGACCTTAAATTACACAAGACCCTCAACTTCTGACCTTCAAAATCCTTATAATAAAATGGGGATAATGATGAGATTACTTGACAGGGCTTTGTAAGGTTGAAATTAAATCTAGAATTGTATGTAAAGTACCTCAGCCATCACAGACTTTTAGTAAGCATTGGCTATTATTCTACCTCACTACTTTTCTAGCATTAAGAGTATCTTCACCATACAACCATGCAACAATAGGCACAAAAGTACTCATTTACATTAGTTAGGCTTTCTACTTAGACATGAAAAGAACTGAGAACTTTAAACAAATGCATGCTAATATTGCCACGAAATACTATGATACAAAAAATATATTTTAAATTGCTACAGGCAAACACTGCTTGCATTTGTATTAGTTTAAAAACGCTACATAACGAGTTTCTTGGGACTTTTATATTCTAGTTTCATGTACAAAATCTACAGCAACAAAATCATCACTACAGCTGTTTTATCACCAATTCGAAATCAATTAGGAGTAATATATCTGGGTAACGAAGTCTTAAAGATACCACTAATATGTTATGATTAAGTGCCTTAAACTGCAATGATGTCAGTCAAGGTTAAAATTACAGCATCTGAATCATAATTACTCTTGCTAATAAAGCAGCAATGTAATATGGACTATCCAAAACAGCATGTAACTTAGAAATTATTTGTATTCAGCTCTGAAATATATAATGGCTTCTTCTATGGCAGACTTATCTTCCTAATCATATTCTGCCTAAGCTAATATTAAAATTAATTTGCTTCTACGAACACCAGAGAATGGCAATGAAGGAAAGTATGCCGGGAAGAGGGAAATATCTAAGATGAAATTCAAAAATTACCTAAAATAATTTATAAAGAAGTGATTGTATTCCTGCTTCTTCTCTTGACAAAAATGCACAATGGTTCAAGAGTTTCTATGAATTGAAAATCAGATATAAATATCATAAGCCGTTATAAATGACCTATGTTTAATTAATTTTTTCCAAAACATAAAGAAAGTATAATGTTAATAAGCATTTTGTATATAAATTACTGAAACTCTAATTTTATTTCAATCACTAGTTGTTTTAGAAAAATATACTGAATTGGACATTAAAGTATGAGACAATTACAATATGCTTCTTTATTACATGTCTTAAAAACTTGTTTCCTAGCAAAAAATATAACACAGTTAACCTAACAGCATGACAGGTTTTTTTTCCTTTTTTTTTCCCAAACCCAGGATTCCAAAACTTTCAGGTATTTAAAAGTAAATTTTAATAGTAATTTTTTTTTTTTTAAAGATCTCAATTTTAAAAAATTTTTGGAATCACAGGTGAGGCAGGTAACGAATTTGGGGGAGAGGGGGACGACAATGAGAGCACAGCCCAACATTCAAAAGTAATTTTGATTGCTGTCCTCAAGGATGTTTGGCACATATTTTCCTACATCACTAAAATATAAAATTGAGCAAATCTACTGATTATTACTTAATTGCACCCCACTAATTTTACTTCACTGTAACAGATACTTACTAATTTTAAAGTTCTTAAGAAATGCTGAATGATACTTTCATCTCAGTGGTTGTTTGAATTTGATAACCTTCTATGACTTAATGTGGTTCTACAAAGAACTAGACCATCTAGCATTTTTAGTACTTTAAGGATCATATCACTTGATGAATTTTTATTTATAATTGTTTTTAAAAACATTAAAAACAAGTATACATGTAAACACCCATGATCTTATCATTCTAACAAAACTATTTTGATTTTTGTATATTTTTTCCTAGATGCTAGGCATGTATATGGAGCCCTGGTGGCACACTGGTTAAGCATCAGGCTACTAACCAAAAGTCAGCAGTTTGAATCCACCAGCCGCTCCTTGGAAATCCTCTGCGGCAGTTCTACTCTGCCCTGAGGGTTCCTGTGAGTCCAACTGACTTGACAGCAGTGGGGTTGGTTTTTTGGTTTTATCCACGTATTAGATATTCATATACAGGTACATACAGAGTCCCTGGGTGGCGCAAAAGGTTAAGCAAGCGCTTGACTACTAGCCTAAAGGTTTGGACCCACCCAGAGGCACCTCGGAAGGCAGGCCAGGCGATCTGCTTCTGAGAAGTCACAGCCTTGAACACCCTACGGGGAGCACCTCTACTCTGCACACATGGGGAATCGACTCAACAGCAACTGACAACAACAACATTCATGTATATATTTTTAAGAAATCCCTATAAAAAGAAAAGGGAAAGACAGTACATAGTTGTGCAAGGAAATAATTATTAATAAAAGATCTAAAAATCATAGGTGAATGATTTTTAAAACAATAAAAATAAAAAATGCAATAAGCCTTTACAATATGTACATGTCTGTTACATTCCAGCTGAAAAATAACATCTGAGATTCAGTATTTAAAAATTCAGCTACCTTAAAAGCTGGAAAGTAGGCTATACTGGTTCCAAGTTATATTTCCCTCCCTTCTTCTTTGGTTTTAATCAAAATTTGGATTATGTGAAT